GCTATTGTGTGATTCAAGTTGGAGAGGTCTCTCGAGGATTTTAAATTTCATATGACAATGTTATAAAGGTATATTAATTCTTATGGTTAGTCTATAATAGTATATTACTATAGTATTTATTTAGCTTAATAATATAGTTTAATTCACGGGAAAAAGTCAAACTAAACCGGATATAATGAACAATAATTCAACTTAGAGAATTTAGAGAACAAATTTCTTTCTTATTCATGGAACCCATAAAGAGGAAAACCAGGACTACGGCAATTATAAACAATACGGAAAAGGGTGAAAACTGCCCCTAGACTATTGGAGTTGGTATAATAATGCCATCCGTTCACCTATTTTGAAAAAATTGCCCTCACCGTTACCTTTTCAGCTCAAGAATGCCCTTACCACTATTACACAACTTTGGAACCCACCAAGATTCTATATCTCTTATTGACATGACCTTGCGCAATTAAACCGCCAGATTCCTCGAAATCCTTCCGTTAGCATTTCATGAACACTCTGAATCTCTAGCAACATTCACATATTAGACCTCTTACCGGATAGCCAGTAAAATCCTTCGCAGGAGCTTCACCAACCACGCGACCGCTGACCTGCTCATAAGAGATAACCCACCTGAGCCTGTGCTCATTCACCAGCTGCACAAGTCCATTCACTCCTCGTGGACATCAACTAAATGTGCGACAATATCTTCCAATTCAAAGTCATGCTGTATCCTTCTTCATATCACGCATCTCATTTCCGTCATATCAAATCTCTTATGCTAGCCAATATTTCAAATTAAGCTCGTAGACCTAGTCACTATCCACCATGAATCCCAAATCACTCTAAACTCCTCCCAAGGCACGTAGTCATCCTACCACAGAACCCCTATGCTGCTCTGCCACACTCCCACTTTGGTCAAACTCACTCCTTTAAGCAACTACTCGACTTTTGTTTCCCACACTTGGCCTTCTAGGAATTTAATCACCACAAGACACTAACCACATGCCCTTCCTCATCCTTCGCTGCCCAGTCAAATACGCAGGAGGAAATATCTCGCACCACATCTGCAGTACCATTTCAATTCCTCAATTTCCGATTTATAATAAGCACTTTGCGTCGCATAAGATTGAGTAGGAAGGAAACAAGGGCATAAGACTCAAAGGAATCAAACCGCACGATGAGGAATCAAGAAGGGGAGTGCTCCTAACAGCCATGTAGCCTCTCGAAGATAAGTACAGACGTCTTTGTACCGATCCGTAAAACTCTACTAGACTTGCTCATGACTCGTGAGACCTAAGGGAACCTAGTGCTCTGATACCATGTTGTCAGGACCCAAAATTCACTAAGGGTCGTGATGGCGCCGGACACCACTGTCAGTCAAGCCAACACCATTTAACTAGAAATTTCTCGTTTTAGATATTTGTGAAATCACTTCTTTTATACATTTAAACAATAAATAATAAGTTCCATTGAATAAATAATGATGTCTTTACAAAATTACTGAACAATCCCGAAATCATCCCAGAACCCGTGTCACAAGTGCATGAGCAATTACTAGGAAATCTAATAAAGTACAATAGCTGTCCGAAATACAAACTTGGACATAAAGTAAATATAATACACTAAAAGGGACTCTGCTGGCTGCGGGTCGTCTCGAGGGATGCAGCTCACCTAAGTCTCTGTATCATCCGTATTGCTACGCCCATTAGGCCACTAGAGGTACATGTGCCTGTGCAAAAAAAATGCACAGCAAGTGTAGCATGAGTATAAAAACAACGTGTACTCAGTAAGTATCCCGCCTAACCTCGAAGAAGTAGAGACGAGAGGTCGACTTTGACACTTACTAGTGATCCAATAATAAAATACCAATTGTACAATAAATCAAAGATTTCTATAAACATGGCTATAACTCAATAGAATGGAGCAAGTAAACAATTCTTTTAGTCATAGGGAAATTTCCAAATCCGTTTTCATCATTTATACATTTATTCTCAACCCGGGAAAGCAATGTCATCATTTATAAATATCAAGCCAAGCAATACAAGCATGCGCAAATCATGCCGAGGTCGTACGGCCCGATCCAACAATATTTAAACTGTGCACTGCCAGAGGGTCGAATGGCGCGAACCATAGATGCATCTATTACCCCGCTCGCGAATCATACATGCGACGCGGTCAAATATAAATAAACAATCACCCTGCTCGCGAATCATACATGCGACGCAGGTACACATAGAAACACACATTCAAACACTCAGTGAAGACTTCATCAGGGAAACAGTTATTCAAGGAGATGTAAATTTCTCTTTTATAAGTCAAGAAGATGAAGTTTAGTTCTTTTAGAAAGTCATTTGCCATTTCGGTATGATTTAAGCAATTTAAACTATCAATAAGGTTACAATTATCACAAGTAAAACATGATTTTGGGTCCTAGACTACCCGGACATAAGCATGATAGTAGCTACGCACGGACACTCGTCGCCTCGTGCGTACGTAGCCGCCACAAATAGGAGCACATAACCAATTAACTCACCTATGGAGACAATTCCCTCTTACAAGGTTAGAAAGGAGACTCACCTTGCTCTGAAGTTCCATAACCGTTATTTCATGCCCTTCCGAAAACTCAAATCAATGCACATTGCTCCAAAACTAGCCAATAATTATATAAACTCATTAATATATGTTCAATTACTCATTATAATCCAATTTATAACAATTCCTAACCCCGACCGAAAAGTTGACAAAATTAACCTCGGGCCCACGTGCTCGGATTCAGAAATTTTTCGAAGATAAAGTCTATCCATAACCTCACGAACTCAAATATATAATTTACTCCCAATTTCGCGCCCAAATCGTGGTTAAATTCCAAGAATACCAAATTTCTATGTTTTTCTTCAAAACCCCAATTTTCACTAATTTCCCATGATTTTCCATGTTAAAATCTAGATATAATCCAAGTAATTAACTTGCAATAGGTGTGAATCACTTACCTTGACATGGATGATGAAAATGGAGCTCCAAAATCGCTACTAGGTCGGCTCCTATGGAGGAAATGAGATAAAATGAGACAAAACCAATTCTTTACACTTATACACTGCCCATACGACTCTTCTTCGCGTTCGCGAGACACCCATCGCGTACGCGAAGAAGAAAATTCCAAAAAACCATTTTTCAAACTCTTCTCAGACAACCTCTAGTATAATGGCCATAACCTTTGTACAAATCTCAAAATGACAAATGGTTTAATGTTTTGGAAACTAGACACCAAGATCTACAACTTGTGTGTTTTGGAAATTTCCCAATTCGTTATAGATTTTGAAATATAAGCTGCCAAAGTCAGCCCTGTGCAACACAAATTTCTTCTTCATCTTCTCTGACAGCCTGTAGTGTACCAGCCCTAACTTTTTGTACACAAATCCAAATGCTAATTAATTGACCTTTCTGAAAACTATACACAAGGGGCTACAACTTTTACTTTTGGATCATCTTTAAATTCTTTATAGATTGCGAGATATGAGCCTCCGAAGTCAGACCTGTGCAACAGAGATTTCGTTCTTCGCGAACGCGAGCGTCCCTCCGCGAACGCGAAGAACAAATTCCCTGAAGCCAAATCCTTCTTCGCGAACGCGAAGAACAACACCAGATACCAGCATCAGCTATTACCAAATAGCCCGAAATGATCCGAAACCACCCCGAAATACACCCGAGGCCCCCGGGACCCCATCCAATCACACCAACCAGTCCCATAACATAACACAGACCTGCTTGAGGCCTCAAATCACATCAAACAACGCTAAAACCATGAATCGCACTCCAATCCAAGCTTAGTGAATTTTAGAATTTCAAGCTTCTATATTCGATGCCGAACCCTATCAAATCACGTCCGATTGACCTCAAATTTTGCACACAAGTCATATTCGACATTACGGACCTACTCCAACTTCCGGATCAAAATCCGACCCCGATATCAAAAAGTCCACTTCCGGTCAAACTCCTCAATAACCTTCAAATTTCTATATTTAGCCGAATGACTCCAAAATGACCCACGGACCTCCGAATCCACTTCCGATCGCGCTTCCAACACCAGATCACCATACGAAGCTATTCCCAGACTCGAAATCCCAAACGGACATTGATAACACTGAAATGCACTTCAACCCAAACTTATGAAATTCTTCCAAAAATGTTAACTTCCACAATAGGTGCCGAAATATTCCCAGGTCTTCCAAAACCCGATCCGGACATACGCCCAAGTCCGAAATCGTCATACGAACCTAATGGAACCTTCGAATCCCGATTCCGAGATCGTTTACTCAAAAATCTAATCTTAGTCAATTCTTGTAACTTAAAGCTTCCGAAATGAGAATTCTGTTTTCAAATATACTCCGAACTTTCCGAAATTCAATTCCGACCATGCGTACAAGTTATAATACCTGAAGTGGAGCTGCTCATGGTCTCAAACTGCTGCATGACGCGCTGGAGCTCAAAACGACTGGTCGGGTCGTTACAAAGCCTAGGACTACGGCAACGATAAACAATAATTGTTAAAATTAAGACCTTTAACTAAGACAATTCAGTGAGAATTGGTTTTTTAGTCCTTTACAAAGTTGTTTTAATTTTATATATTTTTTATCGGAAATCTTTATTTTTACGTATAAGAGATCCGAAAATAACATACAAGAGATCAGAAAAGGATATGAAAAGGTCATTTTCTTCTATTCAAATTGTAAGTGGTCACAAGAGATCATTCCCTCGATATTTCATGTTGAAGAACCCATAATATAACATTGATATATCCTCTCATAAGTTTCGTTTAGTCTTCTTACTCTAAATTAGGTGAAAGATTTACTATCATATTTACATCACATTGTTGATGGAAAAGAAAGCATTAAACTCTTAAGTTCCTTCAAAATATAAAAAACAATTTTAAACTTTCTTCTACATATCTACATCTAGATCATAGGAGGTATAGATATTGGAAGTTTACATATATAATTAATACCAAACCAACATAGAACAATTAATTAAATTCATTAAAGAAATTTTACATGCCTAAATGTAATTAACAAAAAGATATTAGCAGGCAAACAAACAAAACATTACATATATTTGATGCACAACATATATTGCATGTCCTTAATATCAAGGCCACCTTCTACTAATCCTAACTTTAAAACCATGTCTCATGTAGAGAATTATAGAAGCATTGGGTTCAATAGGGTGTCCTTTTACAAGTTCAACTTGATAATTGTGAATAATAGCAGCAGCTACAGCCTTCATTTGAGTGAAAGCCACTTCTTTTCCAAGACAAGTTCTTGGTCCAGCATTAAAAGACAAGAATTTGTACGACGGCTCGTGCTTAATAGTTCCTCTGTCTGAAATCCATCTCTCTGGCTTAAATTCCAAGCAATCTTTCCCCCATATCGTTTCCATTCTTCCCATTGCATACAACGAAAACATTATCTTTAACTTTGGATGAACTTTGTGACCACTCGGGAGAATGTCATTCTCAAGTGGCTCTTTGTGTTGGAATGGAACTGGTGGATATAGCCTTAACGAATCACACAACGCGCCATGTAAGTAAACAAGCTTGTTCAATTCTTGAACATTAAAAAGCCTCCATTTTCCAACTTCTTCTTTGGTAATAATAGAGTTGATTTCATCTCTAATCTTCTCCTCCACTTGTGGATTTGTTGACACAAGCCAAATAAACCATGTGAGAGCAGAGCTAGTCGTGTCGCGCCCTGCTATCATAAGATTCAATATGGTGTCCCTTAAGTACTTGTCATCACATTTCACTCCCAAATTCTCTTCTTCCTTGAGATAAAATGTCAAAAGATCAAATCCCTCTTCACTTTCTTTCACATTTTCTCCTTCCTTCAACTCTCCGCGCTTCTTGTATATGTATTTACTTATAGTATAGTCCAATGTTTCGCGAGCTCTAATCAACTTCTTTTCCTCTCCAATTCTAAGCCATCTTTGTAATTTCCAAATAATCTCGGGCAATGCATGGCGGAAAAGAATGGCTTCTTCAGCATCATCCATAGCTTTCGAGAAAGGAACATCAGGGAAATCTATAGATACACATCCAGGATCATATCCAGTGACCAAAATACAAGTAGTATCAAAAGTGAACCTTTGGAACAAATCTTGCAAATCCACTATAGAACCTTTGTCACATATATAATCAAGCACAGGAATTAGCCCTTTTTCTACCTTATCGCGACTAGTCTTGACTAAAAACTTGTAAAATTGTTGATGAGTGATGAGAGCACGAGTTGTCTTCCTCTGAATCTTCCACATATCCAAGTCCGCGTTGAAAATCCCATTTCCTAAAACATCAAACATCTCTTTAAATTTTGGCCCTTTTGGAAAATTCATGAAATTTGCACTCATTATGTAATGCACATTGGCTGGATCAACTGTTGACAACATGTCCATATTTGCAAACCAGGGACCTTTAAATAAAAAAGTTCCCCCTGAGGCTCTCATTGTCATAGTACACCTTTCATGGATTTGTTGTATATGGTACAAAGCCCCTGGGAGCATACCGAAAATCGGCCAATTTATCGGATATTTTGAATCCCTAAAGAAATAAAACAAGAAAAAACATAATATTGCTAGGAGAATTTCAATGTATCCTAATCCTATTAGTGCCATTTTATGGCTAGCTTCTAATATTTCAAAGTGGAATGGCACTATATGTGTGTACTTGCAAAAAAATAAACTTCAGACTTGCTTTTATAATAGTACTTTGTCAAAGTAGTTAGTTGCCTCAATTTTCAGTATTTGGAATTTTCTTCTTTTTCTTCACTATTCATATTTATGGTTTCTTGTTGGAACAGACTACCTATTATGAAACTACCAACAAACAAAAAAAATGGTAAAGAACAATATTTCAAAGAGCTTTCCTCATACTTTGTTTTTCTTTTTATTTTCTATTCGTTTAATTTGTTTTTTGTGAGAAAAACAACGTTTGAATGTGAAAAAAAAAAGGAAAAAACTAAATATTACATGCATTATAGTTAGTTGATCTGCTTTCTACTATCTAACATCTATGAAATTATTATCTCTGTGCATCACTCTATGAAATTAGTCAACAAGGTGTGATGTGTTATGAGGTCAGCACAGTTTTTAATTAAATGTATTTACAAAATTTATCTAAAAGCTGTCACCACTTTGACTTTTGCATAGATTCTCTCTAACTTGAGCATCTCTTTTAATTCTCCTCTCTTTCTCTAGTGTTCTTTTTTCTAATTAATTAATTCGACTTAGAATGTGTTAACTCAGTTCGTTAGAGAAGTTAAACCTAATTCATCTATTTTGAAAAGACATAATTTTAAAGATCTCGCCAGGGTAACTGTGAGGGGTTTTTTGGTTTAATTTAATGTATAAGAACAAATAACTCATACAAAACTCTGTATTAATGATATTGTATTTGATTTTTGGTATAAAAGTTTGCATTATGTGCATTCCGAAAACAATATCTGGTTTCCGATGTAGATCTCCATATAATTTGTGTGTCGTCACCCGGTGTCAATCTTCCTTTTTTAGTTTCCTATCCGGTGTTCCGTACGTGCATTGAGCCTGACTAAGTCTGGATTCTCGCTACTAAGCTCCACATTGAAGAGTACTTATATCCAGTGCTCGAACTCAAACCTTCTTTTTTAAAATGAAAGAATACTTATTACTCTGTTACAACCCTTGTTGATGCGTCAAGGAAACTTAGTTGTTTACATAGAGCAAAAGAAAATCATTTATGCTTTATTTTCAAAGTATCATTTTTCGATAAAGTATAACCTATATATCCTTCTTTGCTACCACATGATATTTGTTGTTGTCTGCAAGTATAACTATATAATAAGTGAAAGTCTCTTAGGACGATCAAGGGTATTTTCGGCATAAATATTTTGGTTTATAGATGTTAGCTTCTACTCCTTCCTTAGACTCGCCATTACTTTTGGTTTATAGATGTTGCTTCATTTTTGTTACTGTTTCTCAGATTTCTTAAAGTTAGCTCCAACCAGCATTTTTTTTTCTTCTATTATTTATTCTTTTTAAGTTCCACTAGTTGGTAGTTAATTGGGATAGTGAACAAGCTAGAGTTAGTGTGATGACCCAAAAGGTCATCACTTGCTTTTAAATTAAATTCTGTGTTTCCGAGGCCTTAAAAACCTCTTTTATCTTCACCTGTTTGCGTGCGCAGTCCGAGCGTGTAGCCGGAAAGCTGTTATGTGAAATATTAAAATTTTGACTTAAAAATGTATTTAAGTTGACTTCGGCCAACATTTTGGGTAAACGGATTCGGACCCGTGATTTGACGATCCCGGAGGGTCCGTAGGAAAATATGGGACTTGAGCGTATGCCCGGAATCGAATTCCGAGGTCCCAAGCCCGAGAAATGAATTTTTAAAGAAAATTATTTTCTGAAATTGTTTAAAGGATTTTGAAATGAAATTTGATTAGAATATGTTGGTATCGGGCCCGTATTTTGGTTCCAGTGCCCGGTACAGGTCTTATATATGATTTAAGATGATTCTGTGAAATTTGGTGAAAATCGGAATCCGTTTGACGAGATTCGGACTTAAAATTGAAAATTTGATGCTTTAAGAAGTTTGAGAGAAATTCTTTGATTTTGAGGTTTAATTCGTTGTTTGAGAGGTTACTTTGGCGATTTGACCGCACGGATAAGTTCATATGATGTTTTTGAGTTAGTACGTATGTGTTGGTTTTGAGCCCCGAGGGCTCGGGTGAGTTTCGGGTAGGTTCCGAGGTGTTTAAACTTAGGAAAATTCTGCTGTTGCACCAGTTCTGGTGTAACCGCACCTGCGGTTCTTGGGCCGCAGATGCGGACTCACAGGTGCGAGAAGAGCATCACAGGTGCGGAATCCTTCGCAGTTGCGGACAATTTTCCGCAGATGCGGTTCCGCAGGAGCGAGTCCTTTCTCGCAGGTGCGGCCCCAGCGGGGCCTAGCCATTTTCGTAGAAGCGACAATTATTCCGCACATGCGGTTGCGCAGATGCGACCCCTGAGCCGCAGATGTGGAAGTCGGGCAGTGAGTCTTTTCAAAAATATAACTTCAGCAATTTTCTTTCAAACTTTCACAAAAAATAGAAGAACTAGGGCGATTTTCTCAAGAGATTTTCTTCCCAAATCACAAGTAAGCACTCACTAACTGATTTCTTTCAACTATCTAATGTTTTTCATCAACTTTTATCATTAACTCTAGGGTTTTAATGGTAGAAAATGGGGAATTGGGTAGAGTTAGGGCTTTTTTATTATTTGGGAATTTGACCTTGTTTTGGGGTCGGATTTCAAAACAAATGATATATTCGGACTCGTGGGTGAATGGGTGATCGTGTTTTGGTCCGAACCTCGTGTTTTGACCAAGCGGGCCCGGGGTCAATTTTTGGGATTTTGTGAAGAATGATTAAAAAGCTATAATTGAGCATTGGAATTGGATTGTTTAACATTTATTGATGTTATTAAGTCGATTATGTATAGATACGATTGTGTTGGAGCCAAATTCGAAAGGAAAGGCGGTATTTGAGGATTGAGTTGGCCGTGGAAGTTTGAGGTAAGTGTCCGGTCTAACCTTAGCTTGAGGGATTAGGAGTTGTGTCCTATTTGCTAATTGCTTCTTGTTGAGTACGACGTATAGGCATGGTGACGAGTATGTATACGTTAGTGTCGAGCATGACCGTGAGTCTTGAATTGATAGATGTTGTGTTCTTAAATGTTACTACGGATGCTTTAATTGATGATTCTCGATATTGAGCAAAGATTGAGTTTATTTTTGTGGATTTTATTTATGATTGAGTGTTGATACTAATTGAGCTGAGTAGGAGTTGAGTTAGGATTGGTTATAGGTGATTCTCCCTTGCCGGGATGTTTGTCTTGATATTGTTGCTCCCTTGCCGGGAAGATATTATATTGCTTTTTGTTACTTTGCCGGGAAGTTATTAAATTATTTTTGTTCCCTTGCCGGGATTCCTTGTGATTGTGTGTTGGCTTGTAAATGGGATCGGGTGGTACGCCTACCACGAGATATAATGAAATGGGATCGGGTGGTACGCCTACCACGAGATATAATAAAATGGGATTGGGTGGTACGCCTACCACGAGATATGATGAAATGGGATTGGGTGGTACGCCTACCACGAATATAATGAAATGGGATCGGGTGGTACGCCTACCACGAGATATGATGAAATGGGATTGGGCGGTACGCCTACCACGAGATATAATAAAATAGGATTGGGCCGTACACCTACCACAAGATATGATGAAATGGGAGCGGGTGGTACACCTACCACAAGATATGAGAAATGGGATCGGGTTGCACGCCTGCAACGAGATGTGAACCGAAAGTGTAAATTGCCTTTGTTTTCCTTAACCTTGATAGAAGTTGAATTTTTGGTTTCTTGATAATTCTCTTGAGATCTGTTTTATCTGTTATTCCCCGAAGCATGTTTTCCTTCCCAGCTTTAAATTATTTGTTCTAGTTTATTTTCCGTTGTATATATATATATATATATATATATATATATATATATATATATATATTATATATATATATATATATATATATAATAGAGTATATACTACTATGCACAGATTTATCTGGAGTCTGGTCCTAGCCTCGTCACTACCTCGCCGGGGTTAGGCCAGACACTTACCAGCACATGGGGTCGGTTGTGCTGATGCTATACTCTGCCCTCTGTGTAGATATTGGAGCAGTACTGGGACAGCAACAGTAGCTTGGGAGCTAGCCTTCAGTCCACAGAGATCCCGAGGTAGTCCTGCAGGCGTCCGCAGGCCCGACGTCTCTTCTATCTGCTATTATGTTCTGTTATCACTTGTATCCGAGACAGACTGAGTTTCTTTCTTTCAGACATTTGTATGTAGTAATCATAGACAATCCGTGAATGTTGTGACATCGGTTTCTGGGTAGAGACATATGTTGTCTATTCGTATCGATTTTGGTATTATAATTATCTAAGTCTTCCGCTTAATTTCATCTTCGCTACTGTTTAAATGTTGATCACCTGTTGTTACCAGTAGTTAAAAGTGTGAACAATGAAAAGGCTAAAGATTTCTAAATTTCGTGGCTTACCTAGCTTCTACGAGTAGGCGCCATCACGACTCCCGAGGGTGGAAAATCCGGGTCGTGACAGTTAGGAAGTAACACGATATGTATATTTATGTGTGCGTAGCGACGAAGTCACAATAGAAGTTATTGGTTCGGCATAACCTAGTAATTTCGGCTCAAGTTGTATTTGTATCAAGAAATTATTTAATATGTATAAATAAATTAATATATCTCAAACCTAGGCAATAAAGGAATTGTACGTATTTTAAAACCCATAAACTTAAAATCCTGAATCCGCCCGGGTGAGAGAGAGAGAGTGGACTAGAGAATGTTGTTGAGCCATTTTGTCATACTTCATAATAAGCCCCCACAAACAAGCAGTGCATGCACATTTCAACATCACACTAGATTATTTTCACCAGCTTTGAATCAATGTTCAAGCCTTCTTATTGGAATAACGGTAATTAATTTTCTATCACAAATTTGTATAATAAAAGCACCTACATAATATTTAAAATTCGTCAAGAAACAAGGTGATGATCCACATTCCTAATAGTAGTTACTAATTAGATAGGTTAGTGAACGATAACTAAACCTAAAGGAAGCTAAAAACATTAACGATTT